ATGAAGGTTTTATATTTATTAATTATCAGCATTTTAGAGCAGAATAGTGATGTATGATTATTTGCTTTATACTAACAAAAAAAACTAACTCTAAAGATGATTGTGCCTTTTAACAGAGGACAAGATGAGGATGATTAAAATGATGATGATGTAATCCATTTTGAAATTAGGAAACATGCAAGTTAAATGAAGGAACATCTGGAATCATGAGGCAGGATCTCCCTCTTTAACATGATGGAAAATCAACAAACACATCAGGAAGTGAAGAGCAGATCTCCATATGTCAGCTTCCTTCTTGTTTCTATATCCAGATGAGCTGTGAGGGTTCATTATTCACATGTTCTTTCTCCCACAGATGAACGGGTTCTTTTGAAAATGATGGAATTGACCAAAAACAAAATACCAGAGATCTTGAAAAAATGCTGTTCAAGCCTAGTTAATGTAAATTACATTTCACAGTATTACAGTTTCAAATTTCCTCAGACATAGAAACCTTAATGTCTGCAGACACGTCCTGCTGTCGGTGAGACTAAAATCTAGGTTTTTGGACACAATGAGTTGGGCTACAAACTGAAAACAGTCCAGCTTAATGATCATATTTATGTAGTAATATTTAGTCTTTGTGCAGCAAAGCAGTGGGATTACATAAGATATTATGATCAAAAGACTTTTCTTTTTCATTGTTGTCTTCCTCCTTTTTTTCCTCCATTGTTTTATGTTTAGACTTAGAAACGACAACTGAAGTACAGCAGTGGCAGTATGATGCTGTAGGGGCAATCTGCTGCAGGAGGGACTGGTGCACCTCATAAATGAGATGGTCTAATGAGGGAAGCATCAGTCAGGAAGTAGAAACTTGAACATAAACATGTCTTCTAAATGGGAAATGTCGCTCAGCAAACCTTCTGTTCATAGACACCTTCTCTTCAACTCTTTTTTTTTTTTTTAGCAATTTTAAGTATCACATTGGAAGAGCTTGATGTAAACAACAAAATTGAAATTAATTTCTCATATTTCCCAACTTTTTTTTGTTTATGTTTGCTTGAGGTGTTTTTTTTTAAAAACTTCTTTGTAAAAAGCGTAAATGCGCTGAAGAGGAGATGTAAACGTGTTTTTGGAATCAATTCTAACATATATTCTAACATTCTAACACATAAACCACTTCTTACTGTAATCCTGAATGCAGAAGTATCACTAATCACGTAAAAAACTTTCCACGACTCCAACACACTCATCAAAGACTCGGTATATTGCTGATCTGTGGTCTGCGCCAACTTGCTAACGTTACTTCCTGTTTGTTGCAGCTAAACATGACATCATCAAATGACGTTACACTCTTCATGGCCTTGTTAATTCCCTCAAGTACATGGAAATACGTCTAATTAGCTTTTTTTCTTTTTAAAAGTTTGCTCAAAACTAGCATCGCATTGGGGCTGCCATTTTGGCGTGATCATTACAGTGAAGATGTGTGGGTGGAGCAGAAAAGGTGTTTTACCAAAACGGCTTGGAAACCCAGTTTAACCAGTTCTGTCAGGAGTTTAAACACCAGTTAAACCTGTGGATGGAAGCCCAGAACATCTGACCTCAGGGAGGGGCTTCTCCTGGGGAAAAGGTTGCAAACTCCTCATTTAGATTAAAGTTTTCTTCTCAACATTTTAACAACAAAAAAACGAAACTTCATTTTAACTGGTTTGATTTATTGTCCACCATAAAGAGGAAAACACCTTTCCTTTTATAAAGTAGATATAATTATCTGGCTAAGGACGGTGAGCCAATGGACCTGTGAATTAGCAGGAAGATGTTGTATTTAAACAATGGAGCCAAACTACATCGGATTCAAGTAAACTGAGGAACTATGACGATAATAAATTCCTGCATCTTCTGAGTCACATCAAATTTATAACGATGTTTCTTAAGAAGGAGCTGTTTAATGGCCGACTATAAACAGAGACAGTGACAGTGTTTGTGGACGTTAATGATTTATGTAAGAAAAGGCACATAAACATCCAGCGGTGAAATTAGAGCACAGAGAATAAAACACTTCTAGAGGGACCTTCATATTTATGTTTCCTGTTTAGGCGACTAAATTGCATCAAAAACTTTTCTTTCTTTTTTTTAAATACGGATAAATAGAGAGGATCAACAGAACATGGATCCAATGTTCAGATCTGACCCCAAAAGTGTTTCAGTGCTTTTCTCAGAGGGCTTCATGTTTACAAAAAGTATTACAAAAATTGACACAAATATTTATATGGAGGAATCCACAGCTGGGGAATATTTTCTTATAAGTCTGTGTTAGAGGCATGAAGTGCTGCTTTAATCCTGTCTGGGGGTTGCTGTTCAGTGAAAATCCTGAAGAGGGCACTGTTACCTACAGAACTAGAAGACACACTGGAGAAGAATTTCTACTGTAGAAACATGACTGAACACCAACCGTTGCAAAACCAGCTATGAGGAAAAACATCTCATATGTCTCCCAGAGAAGGAAGCAGAACTTCTTCCACCTTCCAGTAAAATCTAAACTGATCCCAGCAATATCTTAGCGGCTGGCTGCTCAAGTAGTAAGTCACCTGTATCCCAGCTGGGGGGAATGAGTTTCCAGTGTGGGTCCTGAGACAAGACTCTCCACAATAATGCCTGATTTGGGGAGTGGTGGCCTAGTGGTTAGGGCACAACGATGGCTTTAATGTATAGAGATCCTTTTGTTTCTCATTACTTGTAATGACAATAAAAAATGCTGGGATAAAAGCCAGGATTATCGGAACCCAGTTTTACTTGGCATAGTTACCTTTATCAAACTGGATATTAGCAAAAAAGCCAGAAAGTGACAGGAGGATTTTCTGAACTCACTTCCCATCCTTCCCAGTATAAACCTCACTCTCCAAAAGCAGTTTCTAGTTTCAGCACTTCTTCCCAAGAACATTTTCAGTCAAAGATAGTAAATCAAAAGTCTGTCAGACAGGTGAGTCAGCCGGTCTGCAACAAGGAATATTCATTTTGACCGACTCGGCTGCACAGCCACAGTCCGCCTCTTTGGTAGAATTAGACGGTTTCATCGGCAAGGATTGACGTCTCACAGACCCTTTTCCGTTGGATCTTTGGGAACCACGGATGGAAGAGAACCTTTTACTTAAAAGGGAGCGCGTGTTTCCCACATCCTCTTTGAAGTTCTTGGTGGAGTAGTAATACAGCATCGGATTGACCACGCTGTTGGATGCTGCCAAGCACAGCGTCACGGCCACGGCTCTCTGGAGAATTGTGGTGACTTGGCAGTTCCAGTTGCCGTTCACGGCATGCAGGTGGAGAGTTCGGATCAGATGGTAAGGGAGGAAGCAGAGCAGGAAGGTTGCTATCACCATGATTAACAGGCGCACCGAGCGCTTGTTTTTCTTGATAATTTTATGGCGAGCTTTTGGATCCATAGAGATCGATGAGGATGTTAGACAGTGGATGATCTTACTGCAGCAGAAGATGATGGTGAAGAACGGTATCAGAAATCCAAAAACCAGACCCACGTAGTTCAGGCTGAGAATTTTGGACCAGGACTTAGGATTTGAAGGCTCAAAGCAACGAGGTATTCCATCTCTGGAAGAAAACAGGTAAACATAAACACACTCTGCCAGAATCCTTAACTTTTGCTGCCCTAGGTTCGGCTTGAACCTCCCTGGCAGCAATTAACTGTTTTGATTTGATTAAAACACCCAGACCTCCCTCTGATGCCTATTCTTAACATGTTACCATGAGTTTATTGGTTCTTACCTGTAAGTAACGCCATTGCTGAGGAAAGGCAGAGAGGATGTGCCCACAAACACCCATATTCCAAGACAGGTTATCAAGGTTGGCCTTGAATTGGCCATAAAGCGATGACGCAGTGGATGCACAATGGAAAACCAACGGAGGAGGCTGAGAAGTGTGAGCAACAGGATGCTGAAGAGGAGACAGAGCAGTTCTGTCATTATGTATCTAAGTTTAAAAGTGTTTCTCATTAATATCTCAAATTCTCCAGATGAAGGGACTAAAATGTTGGCTGAACCAAAGGCAAAAGTATCATGTTTGTGTCTGTCATACCTAGAGTACAGATTAACATAGAAACCAAAGACACAGAGTCTGCAGATCCAATCAGGAAAGAACCACTTTCCCTTGTTCATGTAATACGCCAGGCGCAGAGGGAGGGTGAGGGAGAAGCTTCCGTCTGAGAAGGCCAGGTTCACCATGATGATGTAGGCGGGCTTACCTCTGTGGATGTAAAGAAAAACACAGTTAGAGACGAACAACCAACCATCAGAACTAGATACTTAAACTCTAGAAAAAACTGTTGATTCAGAGGTAACCTGAAACGGATGATATACAGTAATCTAGGTCCTGGTTAACAAATGTTTACTATGGACCATTTATATGCCTAAAATGGTCGACTAGTTGGCTTGATTGATGGATTGAAGAATTCATTGGTTGGTTGGTTAATTGGTTGTTTGGTTGGGTGATTGGTTGATTGATTGGATGATTGGCTCACTGATTGATTTACTGACCATGCAGGAATTCACAATATCTTTTCCTTTAGTCGCACCGAACATCCACTACTATCCACTTTGTCTTCCTTGTGTACATTTCATCATTTCATCTCAAGGCACTTTGCAGAGACAACTGTCTCTGCTGGAACAAGTTCCACATTAGTCAAAGCAGCTGCCAAGAGGACCAAGGTTACTCTAGGGGAGCTGGAGAGATCCATGGCTTGTTTGGGAGAACCTGGGAAGATCATTCCATTGCCCTTTTCCACAAGAACTCCTACCTTCAAGGAAGAATTCAAAAACAAACAATATCCAAAGTAATCTTGGAAGAACTTCTGAAGCAATGGAGGAAACATACTTTAGTTACCGTGTGGTAGAAGGTGTTCTACCATTAGACAGGCCTCTTCACTTGCTAATTTTAAATCTCTTCTTATGGCTGATTTCTTTTCCCTGGCTTTTAACACAATCTGAAATGTTGACTATTCTTACTGTGTTTCTTTTATTATTTTATTACTACCTTTAACTTTGTTACTACTTTTATATAGCACTTTATTTATTAATTTTATGATTGTGTCATGAACGTAGCCCCGGTAACTGATTTGATTACTCACTTTATTCACCTGCCGTTCCATTCCCGCTCTCTAATTATCGCTCATCTTATTTGCCTGCTCCCTCTGCTACATATGCAGTTCAGCCGGGGCCAGATCATTATTTGTGTATTCTTAGTTTATTGGTGTTATGTTTTTGTGTCAGTAATTCATGTTTATTTTCATGAGTTTTAGTTAAGTCCCTGGTTCATGTTCCCGTCCCCGTAGGCCAGTGGATTGAGATGGTTTGGTGTTTGTCTCCTGATTGTGTCCCTGCTCTTCTCCACTGAGCCCTCAGGGTTTTGGCTCAGAACGTGGGGGAGTTCAGTTTTAGTCTCGTAAGCCTGGCTCCAAGGTGGAGACCAGTTTAAAGTTTCTGCAATTTCTCCTGGTACCATGTCTTGTCTCTGTCCCTCAACCACTGAGCCTGCCGGTCTCCATCTGAGCGTGTCTGTCTGAGCTTGCTGCTGGACTTGTACTCTGAACCTGCCTTCATGCTCTGTGGATTCTTTGGATCGGAACCTCCAGCTGGGCTACAGACTCCTTGATTCCAGAACTGTTCCTGTCTGATCTGTATCCCTGACCTGGATCGGATTCCTGTCTGCCCACTGAGGTTGCTTCACCGGGGACACTCTGGATTGCTCTGAGCCACATCTCGTTTGGCAGT